TTATGGATGTTCAGTTATTAAACAAAAAGCCCAGTTTGGCTTATGTTATTCCTGCTCATACTTCCATTGTGAAGGAAGTTGGTCTGTACAAAGTAATTGTAGCTTTGCTTTCCTAATAAAAGATCAAATAAAGTAAAATAATAATTACATTTTATGAAGGCTGCTGTTTTCAATCACATTCTTAAAATCATTTCCAGACCAAACAAACTTCCATTTCCTGGAGCTGAGACTCTCTGCATGAACGACTTCTGACCCATTTCATGCTGAAGAAGCAGCTCTCTGCTCTTTAAAGCCTTCCTGATTAACAGATAAAGAATCGGGTTGTTTCTAGATTCTGTTGATTCTTTATAGCAACACTATTTATATTTCTAAACCTTTGTCTGCAGAGAATAATAAAGAAGAAAAAAAAAGAGACTTGTTTTTTGTTTTTCAAAATGGCTGCTTAAAGTAGAGCCAAAGGGTCAGGTTGTGGTATTTTGCTGCCCCCTGCTGCTCAATAAGTCCCCTACCAGGATTATTATTGTAAAAATGACATGTGAACCAACAGCAGCTTATAAATCCTCTACAGTTGGACAAATGTCACTGGAAGCTGCATGGACAGCTCAGTGGCGACAGGCTCAGCTCAAGTCAGCGCCACTAATAGGCGTGACATTTCCCTCCAAAACGCTCATTAGTCGCCTCCAAAGCGGCCTGATGCCATCCACTATAATATCTCCAAATTGCAACAATTAGAAGGTTTTAGCTGCAGGGCCGACGGCTTCCTTCGCTCCGTAAAATGTCAACAATGGGACAATCTCATCAATGGCAGGAAGATGAGTTGCGGCTCTTATTAATGTGTCACTTGGTCATCATTTCCAATAAGAGGAAGCGTTTGTGCTCCATGTGGTCTCCACTCATCAGAAGGTTGCACAGCTTATTAAACTATTACACAATACCGCCCTGATGTCCCTTCATCTCAACCTTTATAAAAACATCTGAATGGAACAGCAGGGCGCCACCTGCTGGTGACAAGCGGCTGCAGACGAGCTTTAGAGGGCAGCATTTAAAACCACGTCTTTAAACGGTTTATGTTCAGCCATGAAGCCTGATGCTCAGCAGCTCTCATGGTCAGAGCGGTGGGGGTGGGGGGGTTCAGTCTGTCTACAGCCGGGGGTCTGATTGATATCAGGTTTTTATGAGAACTGTGCAGAGAATCAGAAAGGTTTCTCCTGGCAGACGGTCTGATTAATCTGATCCACTTCAGATACTTTTCAATTAAATAATGAAGTTATTGTTCTTCAGTGCGTTTCCCTTGTTTTGGGCCGGTGTAGATGAACAAATGCCAGGGCCGAAAATTGTTCCCAGTCCGAGCCAGACCGAGGCACCTTACAGTAGAACTGCAGTCAGTCTCTGGACTGGCATGACTATCATAAGGCATCCTCAAAGTCAGTCCTCGAGGGCCGCTGTCCTGCAGGTTTTAAAGGTTTCTCAGCTTCAGCACAGCTGATTCTGATGATTGTAGCCCGTTAACTATCAATGGAAATCAAGTTTGCTGATTTTAGACTCATCAGAATGTAGAAAACTGTTATTTTAATGTTATTTTTTTCTAATTAATTTGTACTATTTTATTATCCACTCTAGACGTTCTGGATGTGTATTATCTATAGAAACTTATATTGCTATGATGACTAAGCTGCAGCTTTGACCTTTATCCAGGGTAAAGCTGTGAACCTCAACTCAAGTACTGCCCAAGGGGAGGGGTAAAATGATGTGAGATCAATTAAGTTCAACTATTATAATAATAATTATTATTATTATTAAGTTGAAGTGGGATTGAATGAGCTTCTTTAGAACAGACTTTTCTTTGCCTTCCCTGTTCTTGTTGTGTATATATATATATATATTATATACATATATATGTGTGATATATTGTATATATTGTGATGGATTTGTATAATATGTTATATTACATGATTTATAGACTTCATTGACTTCATAATGACTATGCAATGTGATTGGCCTCTTTTTTAGTATAAGTTAAAGTTAATCTACTTATGCTATGAAACAGCAAGAGTGTTAAAGTGATTTATCTTTATTTTAAAAGACTTAAGCCCCCCTGAAAATGTGTAAATCATTGTTTTTTGATGCCGTAGCGCACGGATTGATTACATTGATACCGGTCTAACTAGTGAGTACCAATATGGCGGCTGGTGGCTTCACTTCAACCCTGTACTACCAACGGGCTATAGGCAATCCAGTGAATAAATAGAGATCAGTGGGATGGAGGCCAAGTTTGGGTTAAAATCATTTCTTTACCCTGAAATAAAAAGATTAAAACGACTTTCCAGACTCAGGATTTCAGTGTTAAACTGCTGGTCTGGGGGCGGGGCTTAAACGACAGTCCAGGTGGACGTGGAGGAAGCATCAGAAACCCACCCGTTTGATGGAGCTGCGCGTCTTCTCCTTCCACCGCTGGCTGCTCAGCTCCAGGGTGCAGTGGACGTAGGTTTCTCTGTCATAGGAGCCCAGGATGAAGAGCCTGCAGGAACAGAAGGCAGCAGGAGTCAGCAGCTGTGCTCAGATGGAGAAAGACTCCTCATCCCTCAGAGGCGAAACCTTCAGGATACGCTGATGAAAGCAGTCAGCATTCAGTGTGTACTGCTGGAAATAACCACAAGGTGGCAGTACAGCTGTTTGTATTCACTCAGACTTACTGTCATTTCTACAGCTCTTAGGTAGCAAACACTGCAGGACCCCCTTATAATGGGTCTTTTTTATATTTCATTATAAGGCAACGTTATTAGATTTTCTTCTTTTACATTTTTTCTTTTGTTTGACCTTGGAGAAATAATGAGTTTCCAAAAATATGCTGAAAAGAGTTTTCTCCGTAGTGTGTCTGGGCTCTCCTTTAGAGATAGGGTGAGGAGCTCAGTCATCAGGGGAGGACTCAGAGTAGAACTGCTGCTCCTACATGTTGA